TCTCTTTCTGTTATGACTTGTGTCTAGATGTAGGATGGGCTTTTTCAGAGTTGGCTAAATCTAGAATGTGTGATTGATTCATACACTGCTAGGATTAAGGATACTAGGATTAAGGGTGCGTGATGACTAAATCAATGCACTGATTGGTTTGGCACCATGCTAATGCCAGTAGTCTGGTCACAATATAAGGGACAGAAAGAGGCCTGTCTTGTCTCTTGTTGTTTTTCTACCTTCTGCCTACCATGAGTTGTTTCTCCTATGTGATGTCTGCCTGCCATACTACCCTACCTCGAAGCTAGCCAATTATGGACTAAAACCTCTACAAATGCTGAGCTAAATAAACCTTTCCTCCCTTAACTTGTGTGTGTTGGATATTTTGTGTCAGCAATGAGAAAACTAACTAACACACTTTCCTAAAAGCAGGGTAGTACTCTATTGTGTCTGTTTAACCTCTGCAACTTGGACTTTGAAAAAACAACAACTGAGGCTGGCCTGATAGCTCAGTGGACTAAAGCTCCTGCTTGGACAGAGTGCAGCAGCCAGGGTTCAGTCCCTGACATGACATGCCAGTCCCGTCCATGGGGAATGCTGAGACAGAGATTGAGACTGGGTGTGGTGGCACCCACCTGTAATGCCAGCACTTGGGAGGCTGAAAAGAGAACAATCAGTATGAGCCCAATCTAGTAGGGAGACCCTGTAGACCCTGTACTAAATACAAAAAAAGTAAAGAAAAGATGACAACAGGCCATTGCTACCTGTTCCTTGCAAGATCCCATGTTTCTTGTTTGGGAGCTGAGAGGAAGTAGAGTCTCATCTTCTTGGCCACACCTGAACAGCTTCCATGGAACCAAGCTTGGCAGAGGTTGAAAATAAGGGAGAGTGGGAGCTATGGGGTTGAAGGGACAGGTCATGACTGAAATGTCACAGATTCCTACTGTTCTTAATGAGATTTAGTAGGTTTTCTTGAATAAAAGTTTCCTTATTTGCAATATGCTCTTAGAACAAATTTTACAAATTTAAAATAGTTCAGTTTTTAAAGTGTCCACCAGTAAGAGTGTCTTGGAGAAGTATAGCCACAGGGCTATGCACTCTGCCATTCCAAAAGTGGAGCCCTTTATCACTTTTTATCATGTTAGTTATCCATATTTATGTGAAGAACATATTGATTTCTGAAGTGTATAGGGAGGATGAATTGGAAATACAAATAAAGAATACCATGCTCTTCAATTGCAAAAGAAAAAATAAAGTGAATAATGGAGAAGACAGGTAGGTTGCAAGGCTCTTCTTTGTTACTGGAAAACACAAAGTATCATCTTAAGTGATCAAATTCCAACTGACATGATCGCTTTTTTTGCACAGAAACTTAAGAGTGAATGGATTGCAATATCATTTAGAAAGATTTTGCACATTTAAAGAAAAATCCTTGCCAGACATACTAACACTTGTAATGCTAGTCTTTGTAATTTTCCCAAATGTAGTAAAGATAATAAGGTCCAATCTCTTACATAGGAAACTTCTGGTCTAATTTTAATCAATTTGTGCCCAACAAGAGAGACAGATAGATATTGTTCGACCAGTTTCACATGCTTATATCTGGTAATCTGAGAAACTGCTTTGAAGATAACAATACGCAATAGAATAACCATTGCCAATTTCCTATCATTTTGATTGCAAATTCTGTATTGCTTTTATTGGTTTTTTAAAAATTCTCTTTCAAATGAGAGAGAGAGAGAGAGAGAGAGAGAGAGAGAGAGAGAGAGAGAGAGAGAGAGAAATGGTGGCCTTGGTACTAATTTGTAGCTGGACTTGTGATTGTGCTTGTTAGTTTACAACTTTGAGTGTTCGTATTTCATGCATCAGCTGAGAGAAGTTGCATTAAAATGCTTAGACGTTTTATATGAAAAGTGAGATCTTTATAGCTCAGGCATGTTTCAGATATCTTGAATTATGCTCATTTTATAAGGATAAAATACTTGTTCTTCTGAGAATAAAAAGGAAGCTTTTACATGAGTTCAACTGTATGAAAAATTTTAAGACAGAACAAGAAACTAAGTAATACCAACAATATAATTTGGCTATAAATACAAAACTAAGATGTACGTCCTCTAAAATTCAGCCTGAAGGCAATGTGTAGCCTGGTTTAACAATGGAGGACATGGACTTGATCCTGAATGCCTGGGCTTAGGTCCTGACTTACCATTTTTTACCTTTGAGAGATTGAGCAAATCATGTAATGGCTTCATATGCCTATAAAATAAGGTTTATAACTTATGAGCTGTTATGGGGCTTTAATGAATCAAAAGATAAAGAAACATAGGTGCATTCAGCAGTGCCTAGCACTGAGGGACATATCTCATTCTGTCCCAAAAGAATTCTTTCAAATTCTTTACAAATAATCTTCCTGTGCTCAGAGAGGTTTTACAGAAAGGCAGCAGAGAAGCTAGCTTCACTGCAAAGTTACTGGTCATGAGGATGGCCAATGTGAGAAAAGGCAAATCCGTTGTTCTGGGCATCAAGTCCCTGAAAATGTTGGAACTGACAGCATGTCTGATCAAGTGATGCCATTCAAGACATTTAGCCAAGGGTGATGCTCTGGGACAAAATTAAGAGGAAAATGACAAATAAACTATGGCAACTAATCAATACATAACCCAGTATGAAGCTAACAGTCCTTTTCAAGAGCAGTATCTGGCCTTTGCAGAGCCCACCGTGTTGTGGACAGAATTGAGTTTTGTTATAATCAGGTTGAGAACTACAGAGATTAGTGTGCTGAAATCATTGGCATTGCACTATGAATGTTTCTTTTACTTACTCTGCCGTACTAGTAAAAAATTATGTATCTATGTCTAATTTATATACGATCATTATTGGAGTGATCCTATTTCAATAGTGTATTTCACTGTGAAATCAAAGTGAAACTTTAACAGAGGCAGAGAGACAGACAGGCATTGTCAGGGGTACATGTAAATTCCAGATTAAACATGAAAGGAGAAGTGTGGACTTTTTCTTCTGTTTCAGATAACTTTTGTTCATACACTAATCCATATAATTGTTACTTAAGTTCAGACATATTTCTAAGGGCTTGCACCTCACCTCTGGTCTCCACTTACAAATATTAGTATAATTTGTTGGCATAAAAATCCTTTCATTTCTGTCTTTTACTTTAAAACTAATTTAGTGGTATCAGTAATATCCCCAAATAACTGAGATGTGTGTGCTACCCAGAATGAGTAAATGTAGGTCATGTCACCAAGCCATTCAATACATATGTATAAGGTAAGAACTGAGGGGCTTAGAGCATAGCACTAGTTTAAGGGGGCTGCCAAACCACAGTCCAAATCCTGCCCACTAACTGGCTCTGTAAATAAAGTTTTATTGAGACAGTTTGTACATTCATTACATATATTCAAGGAGTAATTCCGCAGTGTTGAGTAGTTGCAAAAGAATGGTTTGGGCCCATGAAGCCCAAAATACTTATTATGTAGCTCTTTACAGGAAAAATTTAGGAACCTTATGCACTAGGTAACTATTTGTAATTTACATTTTTTTAAAAACTTCACTAGTACTATATGTTATGCAACATAGTAATTACATTAATCTTGGGGAATATATGCATATATCTCACCTCTTGATAATTTTACTACCCCTCACCCTCACTCCTTCCTTTCTCTCTCCCATCTCTCCTCCTATTTCCACAGAGTCTACCAGGCTGTCTGTTATTTAAAATATTCTAACATGTTTAAAACATGTGCACAGGAGTCTAACAAAACTACCTATACATGTCTGTTGCCTTGAATTGTTTGTTCATAGTCAACCCCAGGCAGATTTCTCTAAAGCAGCCTCAAAGGGCCTCCCTCTGAGCCTTCACCTTATTCCTGCAGTGCTAACCCCAACTTACTCCCCCTTGCCTTTCTGGCCTTCAGGATACTTCGCAAATGATGCTCTCTTCATGAAGCCTTGAGCCCAGGTCAAGAAGGAAAGCATTCTTCGTCCAAGGTTCCAGATCTCCAGGTAATGAACTGTGCCACAACTGGCCCATGTGAAATTGCAGTCAGTTGCATCAGCTCCAGGGTGAACTCTGTAGGGACAGCCTCTCTTCATGTGTCTATTGTCACTTCCCAGATTATGAAACCCCGTTGCCTAGTAAATCTAAGCTCATTTTTCCCCATGTTGTTAGCACCTCACCCCCACACAGTTTCCTTCCTGGCTTGATTCTTATCTTCTGCAGTTTACAGTAAGAGTGAACTGCTCATGGGATAAAGCAAGTTGTGTTGCTCCTCTGCTCTGAACTCTACACTGCCTTACCCTTGAAAGAAAATCAGAAGGCCTACCATAGCCTGCAGGGTCCTGCACGGTCCAATCACCTGTGAACTTCTCTACCCCATCTACCTTGTGCTACTCTTCCCTGTGTAAACTAATTCCAGGGACACTGGCTTCTTGCTGTTCTTATCCCAAGAATGTTTTTGCCTCAGGCCGTTTGCACTGGCTGTTCCATCTTCTTGGAAAACTTTTCTTTCCTTGATCCATCCAAGTCATTTGTCTGGTATCACGTGCTCAGAGAGGACTTCCTTCTTTGGAAGAATGGAACAACCCCATTTGTCACTCTCTGTGCCCTTTAATTATCTGAATAGCACTGGTTATCTCTTTCTTTTTTTTTTTTTCCTCAGGATTTGACTATCTTTATTTTCTGATTACAAATATATATATGCATATATGTACATAAAGGGAAGGGATAAAGGAAAAAAGAAATTGCACTGTGCTGACACAGAGACTTGAAATTCTAACTAAGGGTCAACTGATGTTTAAAGGAAACTACTACGCGGTCTCATCAAGGCATAGATGTTTAGTAAGTCTCACTTTAGCCTTAAAATGTATGGAAACACTTCTCCACAGAACTGGCCCCACAGCGGTCAGAATGCGCCAAGGCATGGGTCAGTAAGTCTGCAGAAATGAGTTCCCTCCGTGCCTGGTGTAAAGTAACAAGCAGCTCGCAGCTTAGCTCAGCAGTGGAATCGGGTGGAGAACTTGGGAGAGACAGGCACAGTCAGAGGCTGGTCACTTGACTTTATCTCCACAGACTGGTATTTGCGTATTGGATTTGCCTTGTGCACCAGCTCCTTCCGCAGTCTGGCCAGCTCCTCCTTCTTCTGTTCCTCTTCCTGCTGCCTGACCTCCTCCAGCTGCTGGGCTTTCT